CAACAACATCATTATACTCATTTTGAAACCCAAATACGTATTTATGGTCTAAAATAAAAAAAAAACCCTCTTTTCAAAATTAAACATTTGAAACCCTAATTTCCAAAACCCAAAACTATTTATACAAAAACTCAATATCTAGGTCAAAACCCATAAAAGTGAGTAGGAATCCCTACCTTAAATTCGGAGCCCAAGGGAAGGAGATGAAGAAAATCAAAATGCTTCAAACTTTAAGATCCACGGATCAAAATGAAGCCCTCGATCAACACAACTTTTACAAAGGCCAAAGGAAAGGGAAGCACTCTAACTAGATCAAACCCTAGAGAGAATGGAGTTTCTAGAGAGAGGAACTCTCAAAATGTCTTTTTAGAAAGTAAGAGAGAGAGAGAGAGAGAGAAAATGTAAAAAGTGATTTTAAAATGCCCAACTGCTAACTGATATACGACATTCCCGCTCGAGCGAAAAACACAATGCTCGAGCGTTAAGAACAAAAAATTAGGTATGCTCGAGCGCAAGAAGGCCCGCTCGAGCGCCAAGACACAAGAATAAAGTACATCCGCTCGAACGCGAAAATCAGTCCGCTCGAGCGTAGATTTCCCCCTCTCAGAACTTACACCAAAAAGTACTATCCGCTCGAGCGCCAGAGTACCCGCTCGAGCGTAAAGAAACTCGCTCGAGTATAAAAATCACACCTGTAGAAGTTTTGCAGGGACACGAAATACTGGGAGTGTGCACTCTCCGCTTGAGCGCAATAAGGCCCGCTCGAGCGGAACAACCAAAAACCTGTAACAAGATTTCAGACCAAGGTTCAACCCACCTGTTCGAAACATGCCCAACACATCCTAAAACTCAAACAAATAGAATTAAAGGACGACAACAAGATAGATACAACTACCAACTCCACGGAACCGAGTCCGAAATACAACAGAACAGTAAAGGGACAACCGGGATCGCTATAATAATGATACCTTTGATAATGAGAATTTTTTCTTTTTGGATCCGTAGACAGTTATTTTTTTTAAAAACAAATAAATTTAGATGATTATATTTTTTTGAGCTTTGTACAAAGAGAATTAGAATTTGGGGCACTGAGTTCTTGTGTGTAGATTATCCATTACGAAAATCTTAATTAATTTAATAATTATAATAAGATAATTTTATCATATTCGTATTTAAAATGTGGACAATACAATTACTGTTCATTTTTTCAAAATAAATGCAAAAAGCATTTAGACCTTTTTTTTTTCAATGTAAATTTATTTTTATTTAAACACATAATACAAAATTTATTTTATTTCCTGATATTTGGTAGACACAAAAATTTTTAAAAAAAAGTAAAAATAAATAATTACTATATGCATTAGGTAGAAACCAATTAATGAAGGTCCACCCTTTCACCTTTAAAGATCTCACTGTGCTGAAAGGGCTCAGCTAAAAGGGAACTTCCTAAAAATGACTGACAGGATTTCCAATGATAAGTCCTTCTAGAGACTATGACAAAAAAAAATTTTATTGCCAAATATTTTACTTATTTTTTATTCAATCAAACAATATAAATGCATATTTTACATCGAAACAAATGACACCTTAATTATAATTATTAGATCAATATAATTTATTTCATGAAAAATTCACACACAAAATTTAATGAGATACAGAATTTAGAGCATCTCCAACCTTGTGTGGCATTTTGCCTATATAAAGGTTACTGCAAATTGTACATTTTATTTTGTCTATTTACATTTTCATATTTCTACTTTAACATTGCTATTTATTTTAACTATTTATCCAAATAGTACTCACTTTATGAAATGTCACATAAGCAATAAAAATGGAAGGAAAAAATCGCAAGAATCAAATACATTTTATCTGGCTTTTGAAGATTAGTTACGTTTAGCTAGCAAGTTGGGATTAAGACAATGTCTATCATATACCAGAGAATTGGAATTAAAGAAATTGAATTACACTAGACATTTTAACTAATCGACAATTGTATATTAAAGATGCCAAGTATATTAGAGATGCTATTAAAATCCACCAAAGTAAAACCATGATAACGCCACAGATTGAGACTTGCCAAAATATTTTTTTTCGCCAGCTAAAACGTGTGGAACACAACCTTGGACCTATGGCATTCACATGATCAAATATTTAAGTGAGGTATTTAGAAAATTATTAGTTGATCCAGAAACAACTCGACGTTTTGCACCTATGCCATTTTTATCAGCTAGATCCCTTCTTGTTTGGGCTGTGGCAATCACAATCTTATAAACCAATCATGTTCTTGTACCACCTTATAACTTCTTGGAATATTCACATTTTGCAAATGTACCAATTAGTATATTAATTATTGTACTAATTGATAATGTGACAAAATTTAAGAGGTTTTGATATTTATAATTTGTATAATAATGGGGTCAATAATACACTAATTAGTGCATATAACACCGCCGAATAAATAAACGTTGAAATCATAACTTTATGGAATGATTAATACAATACTAATTTCATTCTTTATTTAAAATTTTCATTTGTCACCAGTGACAACGAGACTCATATTAATGAAAAAATATATATGTAAATAATTTTTTTATCTATTTTTTCATCTCTACACACAAAAAAGTGGGTTGTGTATGCATTTATTAGTGTGGATCTCTTTGTCTTATGCGTAAGAATAAGAAAATAATGTAAAAAATGAATCATGTTTAGCATTACACATTAATAAAAATACATAAAATTCGCTTATGTTTAGAAATTTAACTTTTGCCTCTTTCCCAATCATGGATCGATGAAACCCAGTTGAATTTTGAGCATTACAAATCCCCAAATTTCAAACTCACTACTTACCTTTTAATCAAAACTCTTCAGTTCAGAGTAGGGACTGCAGTGTTCCATCTACTAGCCAACTTCGCACCCTTCCTCCAACAAGAGGCCCATTTGTTGACCGGAGTTCGAAATGAGATCGAATACATCAGAGATGAATTCAATCGCATGATGTCTTTTCTCAGAGTTGCCGAAGCCATAGAACGACCCCGAACTCAAAGTATGGGTCAAGCAAGTGTGTGAAGCTGCTTATGACATTGGACATGTTCTCGACTTGTTCATGCTTTGCCTCGGACATCGTCATGGCCATGGATTTTGCAGTTTTCTTCGTAAGGTTTCTTACTTTATTAAGACTTCAATAGCTCGCCACCAAATTGCTTCTAAAGTACAAAGAATGAAGTCCAAAGTCGACAATATTTCGAAAGGACATCGGAGGTACCATGACAGATATGGTATGTTACAGCAAGCACTACAAGAAATAACACCTTCGCCGACCAAAAAATTGGTCGCTAAAAGCCTATTTTTAGTCGACAAAAGTTATCCGCGACCAATTTTTTTGGTCACCACTTTGGTCGCCAATTGAGGATCGGCAAAAATAATTCGCGACCAAAATTTTTGTTGGTCGGGAAAAGTTAGATTTGCCGACTAAATTTTTAGTCGCTAAATATATCATTACTGCGATTAGTACTTTTTGTCTGTAAAACACTTTGGTCGCGAAAAGTTATATTTTCCCGACCAAATATCTTAGTCGCCAATTGTCACATTCCACGACCAAACAGATTAGTAGCCAAAAGTCGAGGAATCGCCGACTAAGAATTTAGTCGCCAAAATATAAGGAATTGCCGACCAATGATTTTAGTCGCAAAAGTGTAGAATTTGCTGACCAATTTTTTAGTCACCAAATCTTTTTTTCTTTTTTTTTTAAACAATCAATTTTTGTTTATAAACATTCAACCCAATATCGAACAAAATTCATTCAACCCAACCACAATTAAGGAACAATAACATTTAAAAAAGAAAAAGCTTAGGAACAATAATTAACAAATTTCCTTTCTTGTAACTTCACTAAATCATCAAACAATAATTAAATTTCATTTAAAATAAAGATGAAAATATGTAACCGCAGTGCAGTACAGGGCATATTCAAGTAAAATTGAATTCAGTAAGCATGTCTTCTCAAAAGCTATATCCTCTTTGAAGTCCAACATGACACAAAACTTGAAGTCTTTCACCTTCTTTAATGATTTAACATATCAACTTGCTTGGTAGCTGATCCAGATTAACATATCAACTTTATGGATAATTGACCCTCCATCCTTGCACGGCCGAATGAAATCGCCACTTGGAAGCATTTTAGCTCTCACAAACTGAGCAACAGCTACATTTGGGCTAGCACCAGAACCTGACACATATCTCTCATAGACCTTGAAAGATTGATGACAAAAAAGAACAAAGATCAAATTTTTGCTTCACCAACTGTTCCAAAAGCAAAAGTTTTAGAAAATAGGCGGAACAATGTATTCAATTAAGTCCAAACTTGATTCATTTGGGAATATTAATGCCCTCAACTAATACAAAATGATGTAAATTATGTACAAATGTTTTTGAAATTAAACAAGAATAAAAAAAGATAAGAAATTTCTCTCACCCACACAGGAGGCCAGAAATATTTCTTTACTAGCAAATGTAAGTTTCTTCTTCAAAAAATTTACTAGTATATATGCCCAACAGCAACAAATTTACCATGACAAACCTGAAAGTAGCATATATCAAAACAAAAGGTTTGTTATAAAGTAGAAACCTTTGTATAATATCTAGGCTCCCGGTAATGCGTTAGGTTATTCTTTTGCTTACAATCTCCAGATTGATGGAAACATGATTCTCTGAAGAATATAAATCCACCAACCTTCAACCATTTTACCATTCTTTCAACAAGATTCTCAACCTACAATGAATGAAAAGGATAAATTTATTTAGAAAAAGGAAAAAATAATCAACAGGTGAAGCAAAGGCAAGTAAAAAGTGAAACAGAAGAAACAAAACATAAATTTTATGCATTAAGGCAACATGTTTTAACATTATGCATTAAGACAACATGTTCTAGGCAAAGACTCTTTGAACCCGTTGTAGGAAAGTAAACTCAGGATACGTGTGACTACCTAATAGTCTCATATATCAGGTGAAATAGGATATCAAGACTTGAATCTCAGACTTTCTGAACAGAACCTGAGAGAAATGACATTACCTAGAGTAGCCATGACAGCAGCAAAGATGATGATACCAACTGGTTGGACTCTCAGTTTGCCAATGGGGTATTGGTAGATGTTGATGTTTTTCATGGACAGGTGTGTGAACCAAAGAATGCCCCCAGCCATAAGATCAAGCAGAGAGTCTAATGTTGATGCAGCAATGGCCAATGATCCACTTTTTATCACAGCATATATCTGCACTTCGCAATAAACTAGCAGTGAGGCATGTAATTTAGCAATGAAGAATAGAAACCGCTTCTGAATTTCGGGAAAGAAAATAATAATAGAAGAAGTGTCTACACCAAGTCCAACATTTCTTCTCTCTCATTTAAAAGCTTGAGAGATTAAGAAATAGACCCAACAATGTATATATATACATAAAATACTAATACTTTCTCTCTCACAGGCGACCATGCCTTATATTAGATATATGTAAACAAAGTTAGTACATAATAACCAGAATAAAGCGTAATAACGAGAGACTTGACTCAAAACTCATGAAGCCAATATTCAAATATTATGTTAGACAACTAACTTATATTAAAAATTAAAAATTTGAAATAATTGATAATCTAACAATGAGAAAGTCAATAATTATAGAGAAAGCAAACATAGATTACCTTGAATGCAAGTAAAAAAATATTAGCCCAATTAGAAATGTTCATGGCTCTTTCATGCTGGGCTTGTTCTTGAAGATCTTGTTCATTATCAATGACACGGGATGTATCCAGAGAGTCAACTTCTTCAAAAGCCTTCAATGTCGCAAATTGTCTTTCATAGTATTCTTTCTCCCCTAAAACACAAACAACAAAACTTATGAATTTAGCTTGTTTTTAAGTTTTCAATTTATATATAAAAAAAAAAATTGTGAAGAAAAACAAAAATAAAATAAAATAAAAGTGAATCAAATATAAACTAATTTCCTTACACTACTCGCTTTCTATTTCTTTTTGCTTCGCAAATCATTTTAAAAAATAGAAATTCAAAAACAACCTTAAGAAAAGGAAAAGTAATCTCTCTCAATAATGTTAGGAAACATGTGCTAATATTTAGGCAGTGGAGACTTCATAGACTCATTTTATCAACTTCCAATGACATTACAACAAATGATGAGTCATTATTATGGACTCTAGTCTTGACAATATTAATTTTTTTTCATTTTATACATATATCGAGACTAAGATCATAAAAAAAGCAGTACACATTTTAATGTGATGTTGATCTTGACCTTAAAAGGTGAGGGAAAATACAAAGTACTCATGTACATTTCCTCTCTTTTGTGCTCTTGAAACCTTGATTTCCTTGTGCCTCTAGTTAAAGACGCCAATAAAAAATTTTCACAAAAGTAAAATGAAAAATAGAAAATGAAAAAAAAGGGGAGAAAAACGAAAACACAACCAAATTCCAGCTGTGTTTGGTTGAGAGATTTGAGGATGGATTTAAAAAAAGAAATAAAAAAGGTATGTGAAATGTAAAAAAAATATACTTATATTTCACATAGTTTCACACACCCTTTTCCTTTCTCTTTCCAAATTCTCCAACCAAACACGGCGTAAATCAATCATGTCTGAGTTTGGGATTTGCTGAAATAAGAAAAATTATTATATTACATGAACAAAAGAGAACGCGAAAAAAAGAAGAAGCACAAGGATGGCATATTTGTTTGGTAGTGTATAAATTTTATTGTTTTCGGAAACAAAGACATTGAAAAGTTCTAAAACACTCATCGTTTTTAAAATATTTTTTTAATGTTTTCTTAAAAATAGGCTGCTTTCACAAACAGATAAACAAACAAGTTTCCAGTGTTTTTGGAAAAACAAAAACAGAAAACAAAATATAGAGATTGGAAGGTAGACTTACCTTCAATTAAGCCAGTGGCTTTAGAAAGATCAATTTCAAAAAGGGTTTGATCAGGATCATCAAGCCCAGACTTAACCTTGTCTGGCAATTTGGAGAAGAAATCACGTTTGAGAGAAGCAACTGAATGGCGTTTGATCAGCCGGTAGGTCGTGTCTGGACCTTCAACATTTATCAACAATGGAGTTTCTATCCCCATTTCCATTTCCACAACACACCCAAACCTAAATCAAAATTAAAATCCCAAAAAAAAAGAAAAAAAAACACTTTTCTCACTACCTAAAACAAACACCTAACCAAATCAATCCCAAAAGGAGAGAGAAGAAGATAATGTAATTCTAAAATGCATTATTGAGGCAGCGTCTGGATTCCCATGTGTGGTATTATGTGTTGTCGAGTCTGTCAAGACCCTTTTTATATTACTCGAAGTCGGTAAGAATTTTTATGATCACATTCAATGAGAATTGCTAAGCACTGGTGGCCTCTTTATCCTCTTTTCATCAAGCAAAAACAAAATTATAAAATTTACATATATAAAGAAGAAACATATTTTTGGAAAAACAAATCATCAACCAAAATTTTTGGACAATTTTCTAACAGTGTCACATCACTTTAACGATTTCAAACTGAAAGCCAAAGAATAGCACCATAAACTATAGCATATAACAAAATGATCAAGTAGAAATTGGAAGCTTTGATGTTGGATGCTGACCATGAATAAATAACTGCAGAACCAGCCACAAAAAAAAAAGGATATTCATTAAAGGGGTAATGTTAACTTTTTTCTGAGGTCAAAGATAAACAGTGGGGCCCCTCTTCTATTTTATCTAAATAGTCCACTGCCTCAGGCACATCCTCTTATTTAAAGCAGAGATAATACAAGTAATATGAACTGTGCAAAGTACGGCTGCAATTGGATGCATTAGTGGTTAAGCACTTTCTATTAGATACTTGTATCATATTGCTCTTAGTATGGGGGATACGAGGACTCTAGAGCTACTACTAATTGAGTTGAGGAATCAAAGTATATCAATTGCTTTCTAGGTTGTATTGCGATGCGTTTTTAACTATTTAAAATAAAAATATCTTCATTTCGAAACATGTCCAATGCAATGATTCCACCTCACAATTTAAGCAGTTGAGAGTTCATTCAACACCTTACTTCTAATCTGAAACGATGAGGCAAATGCTCCGGTTGTTGAGTTGCAGCTACATCTTTGATAAATGACACATGTTCTGCATTTTCAAAAGCGCAAAGCAAGGTTTTCATTCATAATTAGTACCAGGTATTCACAAATGAAATCTCAGCAGTAGTTATAGAAGTTTATGTCTTCATTTTTTGAATGTAACAGAGTATATATACATCAGTTGTATCCTAACTAAACTAACCTAACCTAACCTAACAACTACTAACCACATTCTAATTAACAATATAGTAAAACTGTAACAATTATCATTCCCAACTAACTTTTGGTCGTAGGCCAAATTTCAAAATTTAAAAGCCCGCCTGGAACGAATTTTCAAAAGGAGGGGTGGAATTATTTTTTCAAAACTCAAACCAAACATCATAATAGAATGTAGGGGTAGAACTATGATTCTGAAACCCTTCTAAACACTGATTCTTCACGCAATACTTATTTTTTGAATTTGTATTCTTACTACTTATTAGTTCTCACACATTCTAGGGTCCTACAATAGAATCAAGCTTCTTTGTAATCCCATAAATAGATTGGACAATATGATCCATCAAGATAAGGGGGATTCTATTTACACACACACACACACAAAAGTTAGTATGCCTAATTATTCAGTACTCTTTATTAAGTTATTTAAATATATAATTTATTTTCAATATATCTTATATTTTTTCACAAGTTATCATCGAATAATATAATATTTTAACTTTATGGTACACCCAAAATCACCATGTTTTGACGGTGAATAAGATTGTTTTAAAGGCTATAAAGGCTGGGGATCTGAATATTCATGGAGTTAGGTTTGAAAAATCTCAAATTCTCAGTTGAACGTGGTTCATGGGTTTGCAATATGAACTCAAGAGTTTTGTTGAATGACAGAGGTCCACCATTCAATCAAGCATAACAGTATGTGTAGAATGTGTATAATGTATATTTGGTAAGCTTTTTTTTTTTTTTTAAACGAAACTGTTCAGAATATTGCAACGGTGGGTGTTATGGCCACTATAGTAGCTATAACAACCGTTACAGCTGTTAATTTCCATCACACCAAAAAATCAGGTATAATGGGTAGTGTATACCACCACAATCGTTACATAACACAAATTTTTAAAACCTTGGTGATAGATTAAAAGTGGCAAACTAAGCATGCCTGTGGCTTGACTTTTTGTGCTCCTTTCGGATACGACTAGCCCCACAGTTCGGACTCCCGTGGTTCTGAATCTAATTTCACAAAGTGCAATGTGAAACAGTGAAAACACAAAAAGAGTCCAAATCTGACAATTCTTTTGGAAAATCGATGTTTGAATCAAATGCTAAAAATGGACTGCTTTGCCAGATTTTAGAGTCGCCACCTAAATATTTTTGAAAAATTTAGGAAACCCGAGACTCGTGCCAAAGGCCACTTATCCGTCATCACCAAAGTGTCTCGGTTCGGGAACTTAGGTACGAGATGAGAAGGTTATGAATTGAGCACCACACTCGCTCGATCGAAGATCTGCCTCTATTAATCATGAAGTAATTTTTATTTACGTTATATGCTCTTGTTCTGATTTATTAGCTATTTTTCCTATGTGATGCATACATAAGTATAGACTAATTTGCAAGAATTGGAACATTTGATTTCATGCTTGCTTTTTTGAAAAGAGTATTGTGAATATGCCACTTGAAAAAGTGGGCTTAAAATGGACATTAATCAAACTATCACAATTCAAGCAACTAACCTTCATCCACAAGCATTTAAACATGTATATCATTTAAGCAATTAGCCTCATGGAAGTATGCTTTGCATGGTAATACAAACATTCGATGCAAGATGCTAAAGCTCAAAATTGCTCACCTAGTACTCCGAGCTAAAACAAAGCAAAATAATTAGAAAAATATGCATGCTCCTAATTAATGCAATATGACTAAATGCAACGCACACATTATGTAATTTGTAGGCTTGACTATGGGCATGACATATGATTCCATTCAAGACATGCGATAAAACATGTATTCAAGCAATGAATTGGAACATTGATATTGGGTTAGTATGATGTGCCGAACCTTTGATGTATGCAAGACAATGGATGCGAATCATAAGAATGGTAATTTCAAAAATAATGTTCTATACTAACCATCGTAAGCAAGACATACACATTATTGCATATTGGCCTTCGTGCAAGAGGCTACGAATCAATGTCCAAAAGTTCGAATTAAACTAATTATTACAAAACCGAATGAATGAATACGTAACTAACTAGCTAATCTATAATTAACTAACTAGCTAATCTATTACAACAAAATAAACTAACCATCTAACGAAACATTGCTACAACAATATTAATTACGACAATTAATAACTAATTATAATACTAATTCAAACAACCATAAAGCACAACGATTGCATGTGCGATACCCAGGAGTTCCTCTGTCAGCTCAAGTTACTCTGTTCCACCCCAGTCACTGCCCTCTGCTTCTGCAAAAACACACTGCCTTACCAAACATTGATGGCCAGTCGACCCCAATGAAGCCCGGCCGAGCCTTAATTTTATACAAAATCCTGTTTTTGTGATCTGAGGTGAAAATAGTGCAGAAAGAGTTTTTTGAGCTCTATTTGTCCCTCTCACACTTCTCTGCCATAGGTAAGCCTCAAGAGAAGGTTGGAATCGTTTCTACAACCATCAATGAGCAATTTGCTTGCTTGATGATTTCGGTCACAATTTGGACATAATTAAATGAATGCAATGAATAACAACCATCCCTCCCCTTCTATCATGGAATGAACTCAAAAAGGGAGGTAGAGACACTTCAAGGTTCATCAAAATATCATGAATTGATGTGTGACGACTCTTGACATGATGGACTTGACATAACATCCGGCCAAACCTAACTATTCTAATTCCTTTTCATTATGTCGATTTCATTGATTTTAAGCCAACTTTATTACTCCTTGCCATTCTTTAATCAATTTGTCCAAAACTGATGATTAAGTCCACTAAATGAGAGGAGAAGTCAAATGAGAAGTGCTTCTAAGCATGAAAGAGAGACCATGCCATTGACGATGAACCTCTGTAGAGATTAATCCATTGAGCATAGTTCTCTTTCTCATGCTTTGAATAACTATCAATCGGTTGAAATAACTCTCAAACAAAAGAAAAGAAGAAAAGAAGGAGGTTGCAGAAATGGTTATGCGAGATTGATTATTTAAAATGAAACTCTTCGCATGAAAACTAAGTAAATAAAGCTATCAACTAAAATAACTCGGTGCTTAAGGCCTAAACAACCGAAGCCATGAGGACTTACAACACAACAAGTATGATATCAAAGCATAAACTATTTAAATGAATTAAACAGCCTATAATAGCCCCTAAAATGTACAAAAGCAGTAGCAAAAAGCAAGAGAAGGTAAGTAAAAAAAGTAGAGAAAATGCTATGGAACAAAGCCTAAGGAGGGATGGCTAACCCCTTCACTTTTTGTAATTTTAAATCACATGTTTCAGCCCCAAATCAATCCAAGAACAGTCCCAAAACAGCCCAAAAAGAGTGGCTAAAAATGTGTTTAAAGAGCACAAAAAGATAGACAAAAGCAAGAGATATAAAGCTAGTAAGCAAAATCAAGGAGAGGTGGCTATCCCTCAACTTTTGAGACTTTTAAACAATATTTTTCAGCCTTTTTTAAATTTTGAAAATCAGTGTAAAAACCAAAGAAAACAGTGGGAAAACAAGGGGAATGAGCTATGGGATAAGGTGCAAGAAAGGTTGTTAAACCTCTCTACCTTTGGTAGCCCTTTAACCCCAAGTTTTAGCACTTGGAATGGATCCAAAACAGTGTATAAAACAAGAAAATGATAGAAAAAGATGGAAATGAAAGCAAGAAAAAAGGTGACAAGCTTATACCTCTTGAAGAGAGAAAGCTTTGGTTAAACAAACTTGATTCCAAAGCACTCTCAAGTTTATGAAATATGGTTTGAAACTCTAGCAAAAAGCTTCAAGAACAAGCTCCAATGGTGTATGTATTGTATATGTATAGTTAAAAAGAGGTTTGAAGATCAAAGGAGTAAGGAAGATGGTAGGAGGTCTATTTAGCTCTTCAAAGCTTTTGGAAATTTTTTCTAACCTTGAATTCTAAAAGAAGAGGTCCTATTTATAGAATTTGAGCCAAAATGGTCAAAAATATCTTTAAACAAAGATATTTGTTCAATTCTTGCGAGCTGTTTGTCTGGCGCCAT